CTCTTTCCCCATCCCCATTTGGAAGGTTCTGGCCCCTCCCAAGGAAAAGGACCTGAGGCCACTGGACCTGGGGCCATTTCAACATTTATCTAGCAGGGTCTGTCCTCAGTCACTCTGCTGCAGGGAGTGTCATCATCTTTTCAACCACCACTGGTATCAGGGAATCTTGGTCTGTCAGTTGTGACAGATCAGGTTCCAGGGAACCAAGCAGTGCACATGATTCGTGAAAGCAGAATTCCTATCCAGTTACCTGCTGCGCAGAAACTAGGGAAGGGACCTAACTTCTACTGTTAAAGCTGTTTTCAAAAAACCTAGAGTATAAAAAGGAATAAGAGATGTAGCCCTTTAAGGTACTCAGGATAAAATAGTATTTACAAAGGTAACCAAAATCTTTATTTCCACAAAAACATTAGTTTAATTCTCAGACTGCTTTACACAACAACAGATTTTAAAGACTTTAAATTCATTAAATGAATTCTTGATAATTAAATGTTTTCAGTCTCAATATAAAAAATATACACTGAGAACCTTACCCAGATGTATGACCTTGTATCAATCAGCTTTATGGTTAATGTCAGATATGTGAAGTCAGGAAAGGTAATACTGCAAATAGACATTTGCTTATTTTATCACAGTCATGTTCTGACTCTGCATTTCTGATCATGTCTAGGGCTGATATTTCTCTCATAATATAGTGATGATTTCCAAGACACTTCATCTCTGCTATTTCAGTATATAATAGAAAATACTCCAGACTTTAGACAAATCAGTGTTCAAATTCTAGTTCTACCATTATTAGCAGTTTGAATTTGAACAAATTACTTAAATATCCTAAGCTTCCATTTCCCCATCAAAAATAAAAATAATAAAGTATATTAAAGTACTCAAGAAATGGTAACTACTGCTATTTTTAGAAACAATGCTGAACTGATCTTAACTATAAGAATCTCTGACAGGATAAGTATTCCAAAAGCTACAATGCTCTGCCACCTAAATCTTTTTAGCCAAGGTCAATGTAGCATCAGAGGACTAGCAGTAGAAAGAAAACACTGAAAAAAATTATAGAGAATATTCACCTCTTCATCTGCCATTATAATTCTTACTTCATCCAGGGTCTCTCTGCTACCTGGAGAGACTTCTCTTTCAAGGTCAAAAGTTTCAGGGGAACTTAGCTGTGTCTCTGTAATTAAAAAATTGAAATCTCATTAACTTTCATTTTGTATTTTCATAGTTAATTTTCCTAAATTTACTATGTCCCCTAAAGCTTAAGGTATACTAATATTGTGGTGGCAAGACAGATCTAGCTTGTTTCTTCTTTAAAGCTTTGTAAGGCATAATATACGTACAACAGAATTCACCGATTTTCAGTATATAATTCGATGTTTTGACAAATATATACAATTTATACATGGTATCATTTATACCATGTAATTACCACCACAATCAAGATATAAAACATTTCCAGCATCCCAAAAAGTTCTCCCTTTCTAGGACCCCAAAAGTGTACCCTCCCATTTGGCTCTTTGCAATGACCAATCTACTATACATTCCTATAGTTTTGCCTTTTCTAAAATGTCATACAGTATGTCATCTTTTGTGTCTTCTTTCATTTAGGATAATGTGTTTGAGAAGCATCCATGTTGTTACATTTATCAGTAGTTCATCCCTTCTGACTGCTAAGTAGTATTCCATTGTATGGATATATCGCAGTTTATTTATCCATTCATCAGTTTGGCTTCTTTACATCATACTTGTGGTTTTAAAGTATATTTACTTTGACAGAAAACAAAAATCTGTCAATGTTAGTTCTAAGGTTAAAGGGATGATTAGAGACAAACACTTGAAGCAGAAGTAGAAAATATACTCCCAACAAAGATAATATATTCTTTAAGCAGCATCTATTCATTCGATAGTACCTGAACAAGTATTTATTCAACAACAAGTTCCAGGCAATGTGAAGCTACTAGCAACATGGAGATATAATATGGGGTCCCTCACAGTCTCACAGGTCCAGGGGTCAGCATACTATATAGCTCGTGGGCCAAATCCAGCAAGCTGCCTGTTTTTGTTAATAAATTTTTATTGAAACACATCCATACTCATTCTTCTTTACATTGTCTAAGGTTTTTTGTTTGTTTGTTTGTTTTCCTCTAAAATGGCAGAGTTGAATGGTTTTAACAGAGACTGTATGGCCCACGAAGCCTAAATATTTACTATCTAGTCTTTTATAGAAAAACTTTGCCAATCTCTGGTCTAGACCTCTACCTCTTAATATAATAAAAGAAGAGTAACTATATTTCAAAGAAGGACAATAAATCTGGAAAAGAAATTTATCTCAGGACACATAGCCAGTAAGCTTTCTGTTATCTACACCATACATCTAACTGGTACTTCTGTGCTTCACACATACAATGGCCGGCCAATGTTGGGCACATAAAGTACCCATAAGATATTGAGGTATCTTCTCAAATATCAAATAAAAATTAAATACATTTCTAGTGTTAACTATGTTTTAATAAATCTTTAATTTTTTGAAAATTGAATACACAATGATTTTACCACCTTCTTGGAAAAAGGATTACAGTGCATAAACTTCAAAACCTTCTTTGTCAAGTTTCCCTGAGAGAGATTATTAAAAAAGATATTCGGTCTATTAAAAAATAATAGCCACTCACTGCTTGCACTACTGTAATAATAAGTCTTTAATTAAGCTTTACTGTGAATGGCTGAAATATTCAACTATAAAGACACTGTAAGAGGGCATTAGTTTCTTAGAAATAAACAATGCTAGTATCATGCACAATATGGGCATAAGGCTATAATTCTGCTTTTTTCGACAAGTCAATAACTCTAAAAAGATGTTATAATTTTGCATATCAGACTCCTGGAACTGTCAGAAACATGTAAAATGAAACAAGTAAGATGAACTACTGCATTCAATCTGTGTTTCAACTATTTAGAATAAAATTTTTGGACAATTTAGATGCATAGCTTCTAAATTATATTTTTAGAAGAATTACATAGAGACTCAGGAGTCCAGCTCCATGGAGGAGTTACACTTTTGTAGCAAAATGGAAACCTTTTGCAATCTCTCTTAGAAGTGGTTTATGTCAGCAAATAGTTGGACTTAATTTAATTAGCAAGCTAATGACAGCAAGTCATGATCATAAAAGTTATCTAAACACAGTCATGAAGCATTTGCTTTTTCCTCTCTCATTAACTAGGGCTTTCAAGATTATTGTTATTTATAGGTTCTTCCTGCATAAGATCCGAGGGTGACATCATATGCCATCATCCTAAACAGACTGAGTGACTTCCAAGCAGGATGGTATAAATCAGCAGTCCCAGACAGAGAGCGGGTAGAGCTTTCTTTTCACAAAGATGGCACAGCATTCCTGACTGCTCCTGCCGAAACTGGAGCACTTGATAGTTGGGTCTCTCAGGTATCCAAATACATTTCAAATGAATTAAGAAACCACTTTCAATAAAAACCAACATAGTTAAACTTTAAAAATAAGGAAGACCATTATGACATGCTGCCAAAAGTTTTAAAATATTTGCAGCCCTTCATAATTTTCTTATTTTGGTTTCTTTCAAGTTTTTCCCCACAGAAATTCAAACTTAGTTTATATGAGTCTTTCGGACCCTAACAGGTTATATGAGACCAAAGGGAAAACTAGATATAACTTATAGTAACGTCTGTACAACATCTGCTGCTCAAAGAGTTTAAACATTAATAGGAAGTCCTTCAATCTCACATGAATGAGGTTACTGAAATATAATAGGCCCTACTTTTAAGAAAAGCCAAAAAGAAAATACAAGCTAGAACAAATTCCTTAGAAAGTAGTGGCTCATATCACAAAATAATTCTTCGTAGTATACAGTGATTCAACTCAAGAGTTCTCTTGAATAGTGGGTATCTTTGTTCACTTAAAATTATTTGTTTATCAAAATCTATTCATATGCATCTTTGAATGAACAGCTATTGTACCTAAAGAAAGGTACGTCTTTTCATCTCTACGATTAAGAAAACACAAAGTACAGTACTTAACCAGGTTAAGTGTCTGAGTTAAAATATAAGTCAATGACAGACCTGTGCACAATATTCAATTTCTTGATTCCCTATTTAGCGATCCCCAACCCTTTTGGCACCAGGGACTGGTGCTCCTATGAGAATCTAATGCCTGATGATCTGAGGTGAAGCTGAGGCTGTGATGCTAGCGCTGGGGAGCGACTGCAAATATAGATGAAGCTTCACTTGCTTGCCTACCTCTCACCTCCTGCTGTGAGACCTGGTTCTTAACAAGTCACACACTGGTACCAGTCCACAGCCCAGGGGTTGGGACCCCTTCCTTTGTAATATTCTGTGAATGGCAATGTGAAACAAACTAGTAAAAGCTCTTGAGAAAAGCATGCTAAATGACAGGCATGTGAAGACAGCCCAACTTTGAGAATCCATAAACCAAAATATAAAATTATCTTGGCTCTGAATGTACAATTAAATGCTATTCCTGATGCTTTTGCTGCATAACTGATGAAGCTGGTAAACAGACAGACAAAAGAGCCAAGTTAATTTCAAAACCTCAAATATCTCTAAGAGAAAAGATTGAAAATCAGAGCCAATAACAATTTTAAAAAAGCATGTATATGCATATGTGTATACATATGTATGTATGTGAAGATATACACACACACATATCGATCATGCATAAATCCCCTGGGAGTAGGTTGAAAAAGTCATAAAAATTAATATGCACAAAAAGGTAGACAGCGAGGGATCAGAAATGCTGTAAAATCACAGTGAGGTGCTTACCGGGACACACAGTGATTTCCTCTGCAGAATCCTCTGACATAAGGACTGAGCTTCTCTTATTGGTCAAAGCAGTAATGCTGAAAAAGAACCAAACCCCAAGTGAATTCCCAGTAAAATAAACCAGAACACAGGACCAAAAGCAATAAGTTGTTCACAGAGCCACAGGTAATCTGATACCTTCTGTCCAATACTATAAAAGCACAACAAGGAAACAAAGAATCAGTAGTAAAAACTCCAGGCCAGAAATAGACGAAATAAACATGCTTACAACTTTGGTTCCAGTGAAATCATTCAATGAAAAGAACCCCTTTCTGGAGTCTTCATAAAGGAAGGCTGAGGGTAAGAACTATCTATGAATACCACAGAAGACAAAAACTCCACTCTGATACAAGGATGTCAAAGGTGTTTTATAGTCTCTATCTCAGCCTTCTGAATGAAGGCTAGAGATTTGTAAACTCATAACAGAAGATATGGTGATTCTCCTGACAACACATTAGCTTTTCCTGCACCTTGCAGCTAAATTTCCTCTTTATCTCAAGATGTGGCTTTCGAAGCAACAAAAATAAGATACAATTCCAAACCGCCTACAGCAAAAATCTGTGCACACAATGGCTCCCCTCATCCGACCTTCTGGTTTACCCTGCCTGTTCATGGAGTACAGTCTCTTCCTGACACAGGAACATGTGACTGAGAGATCTGAGCATCCAAGCTAACCCCCTCATGCTTCATAGAGCTTTACGATTAGTTTGATCAAGTATGCAAGAGGACGCAAATCCTCACATCAACCAAGAACTATAGAGAGGAAGAAATACCCACCGATTCATGATAAATAACTAAATCCTGATAGGAAACCACAAGTGATTTCTCTCTCTAAATAAAACATCTCATAGCATTTGTTATAAACTCAAGCCAGACATAGTTTACTTTGCAGGTAACATTAGGGCTCTATTCAAAGGGTCCATCATGAAACAATTTGCTGACATTTATAAAATGGGCTAATCAATCTGAAGTCAAACCACATTGCCTGCAATTCCAACTCTCTCCTGGTGACAAAGTGTATAATCATTTATTAAAACCTACATCTGCTCTGCACAAGGCTCATTACAACAAAGCAGAGAGGCCTGCAGGAAGCGGAAGGTCTAGTCCAGTTAAAACCACTTCCAAAACTGTCTTAACAACAAGAAAATCAAACCAAAGCCATATTTTTAAATTCAGGAAGAAATACTTAGTACTATTAACTTAACAAAAAGCCTAAGAACACCAACTAAATTACAGCAAATGGCAATCAGACCTCAATTTCCATATGGGAGATGAAGGTCACTCGACATAAGATTAAGCTCTTGAGTAATCCCCAAAGATCAACTATTGGATAAAGTAATTAGAAGCCTGATCCAGTTAATAGTACAGTTTGTAACCAATCAACTACTATATATTGTTAAACTGAGAATACCTAAGAAGTAAACCCATCAATCAACGATCCAGATTGAGGAAGTAATGCAAATACAACCATTTAAAAGGAAGATGTGATACAATCGGATTAAAAGTGGCATAGGACAGGGTTCTGTGTGGCCTGAATAATATGAAGGCTTCAAAGAGGAGGTTAAGTCTTAAGAGCAGACTTATAAAATGTATATGGTTTGGATATGTATATAAAATAAACGAGCAGAGGGAACAAAGGGGATAGGAGAACTAGAAGGACCATAAAAAAAAATCAGTCTAGAGTCTTCAAACAGGCATAGGACCCTAACATAGTTAGAGAGTAGCTTGATGTAACCACTTTCCAGGAACAGTGTAAAAGGGATTTGTGACAAGAAAAACCAAGATTTCTTCTACTTAAATATTCTGGGCTTCTATGAGATGCATATATGAGAACTGGGCGATAATGATTTCTCCTAGTCTGTGTTTATAAAAGAGCTTAAAAATCCCTGGCAAACTGTCTCCATACAGTTTCATTCATGTGGTTCATCTCTCTTATTCTGGCACCAGAGAAGAATTGAGACCTGTAACAACATATAATCTTACCTTTGTGAGACAGGTACAGAGTTTCCTTCTTCAAAAGTTTCTTCAACAAATAGCCCTTGGGAAGACTGCAAAGAAATACGTAACATTCTAAATATGCAGGCAAAGATGAACTAAAGTTTCTCTTCTTTTTAAAAAAATTAATTGTTCAACATTATCATCAGCAAGTAGCAATAAGAATAAAACACAACATTAAGTCAGTAAGTTTCAATAAAAAAAGAGCATATCCTGTGGAGTGAGAAGACTGAGATTTAAATCACAGATGAATCACCTATGAACTCTGTAATCTTGGGTAAGTCACATCTGAATGTTTCGTCTTAAAATGAGTATTAACAATTGCCTCACAGAATGTTATTGTGAGAATTAAACGAGATATGAGATACGCTTTGTAAAACTCAACAGCACTTTGCCTGAAATATTAATTGGTGAGTCAAATGAATTATGATTTCAGAAAAGCAGTTATAAAGCTTTTGTTGTGGAAGGAGAAAATATAAAGTCCAGTTTTCAATGGAAATACTGAGTTGGGAAAAACACTCCATGACTTTCTCTAGGCACAACCAAGTTATAACATAGAACATCCTAAAGGGAAAGTTATAAAAACTCCTTTTGCTACAAATCTGCCACTATGATTTGAGGCAAAAACTATTAAATTATTCTAGAAATGAGGAAATGATTTTAGTATCTGGCTACAGGAACATCTTTTAAGAAATGTAGCAAATAGGAACTGAATAAGGAAAAGATTATTTTCTGTGATTAATGGTAGAGCTGGTCCAAATGTCAACTCATTAAATGTAGGTGCACAAAGGAACTCAGAAAAAGCAGCTACTGCTGACACAGGTGGACTTCTGAGTAAGTGCCTGGGCTGTGAGGTTTCTTCCAATAGAAAAGCTTACTGACTGAAGTCTACAGGGTCTCCTAACAGGATATAAATAACCTCAAAAAGTCAGGCATCTCTCTACCACTCAGGTAAATGATGAAATATACTAAAAACCAGGAAGCCCTTCAATCAAAGGGATGATAAAACTGTACAATGATCAAGAATGTAGCCATTATAAAAAATAGAGTTGAATAAAACCGTCCAAAGAAATAAAATACAACAGCAATAAATACTTCATCTATTTGTTTGAACTCAAGTAGTGACAAAACTTTCATTCCTAAAAGCACAAAAAAAAAAAGTAAATACTGACATCTAGTGTCTATTTAATAGAATTTTACCTCCTTAGAATGACTTGCTGACTAAGCCTTGGGCTTCAGAAGTAATCAGGACACTAAGTTTTAAGATACCTCCACCTCTATCTTAGGCTAAAAGCATGTCTCTATCTTTCCCAAAGTTTAAAAAAAATAATAAGTATACACCTATTAATCCCAGGCTCATGCTAATCACTTACATGCATTATCTCCTTTAATCCTCACAAGAAACTTTTGAGGCAAAAACTATTAAATTATTTTAGAAATGAGGAAAGTAAAACTCTTGACAGGTTAAATAATTTGCTGAAAATCAGAGTTGTTGAATAGTGGAACTGGGATCTGACTCCAAAATCCATGCTCTAACTGCTACTGTTAGGTTGTTTACTCAAATGATCTTCCCAACCACTTCAATGTATCCCAAGAACGTCTGTCTTCATTTCAATAAATCATTTTTAATTTTTAAACTTAAACCTCAAGCATACTAGGAATGTAACCTGAAGGAAACTGTGGCCAAATCAAGACAAAACACTCTGTCTAAAGAAATAATGTTAATACAAAAAGAATAGTTTGCAAAAAATTTAAAAAGAAAAACCAAAGATCCAGAATCAAGCAGTGTCTTCAATATCATGGCCTAGGAAGTTAAGGTGAACAGACACATCATCTGGTCACTACAGAAATGTCTTCTGTTGTCAAGCACTGGTAGCTTATCAAGTCTTCCCACAGACTGAATCATCCCTTAAAATTTCTATTTTCTGATTACTATTTCAGCCTTCCATATACCTCACTCTAGAAGGAGTTACAGTAAATGGTGGACCTGAGTACTAGGGTCACAGAAAACATCTCTCTTCCATAATAAATTAATAAACTGTCATTTGGTGTACATGTCAGCTTGAAGTTTGGTTAGTCAAAGTCAGTTCTCACACCCCTACACAATTTGGTCATTTCTGGGAAACAAATTCCAGTATCTGAACTGAAAAATTAAGGATCAGACACTGAAGTAGTGACCATATAGATATACTATCCCTCTATCTTCCTGCTGTATGGTCATCAAGATGACCTTTCCATCTGCACTGACAACTTCTCTATTATCTCGCTAATGCCAGAAAGCAGTTTTTGTCTAGTTCTAAAGCTTTTATAACCTTCATATAGACTAAGCAATTTTCCCCAGGGTGAATGTTTTTCTGAGTCCCTATTTCTGGGACTGTCTTGCTATCTCAATACAACCAAGTCTCAAATGTGGGCAGCTCCAGCAAAGCCAAAATCAATATAAAATGTTTAATAAAACATAACTTCTACCCACAGTTCCTGAAAGCAAAAGATCAAGAGGTGAAATTACAATCATTAACACCTTCATTATTTGCCTATAAAATTATTAAGTTTGTCTGTTTTTTAAAGATACTATTCTGTGTTAGCAAGGATGCAATGAAGTAGGCATTCTTATACACTGCTGGAAGGAAGGAATAAAATTTGAGCAACCTTTCTGAAAAGCAATCTGGCAATAAATAGCAGGTCTTTTTATAATGTTCATAACTCTTGTAACCAAGAATTTTTCTGGTTCCCTATTCTTAAGGACACTACTCCTAAATAAAGTTTTATTTAGAAAGATGTTTATAACAACCAAAAATATCCAGCCATAAAAAAATAGTTAAAATATTTAAGGTAAACTCATAGGCCAGGACATTAGGTAGTCATTAAAAATGAAATCTATAAATAATTTTAACATTATAAGAAAATGTTTATAAAATGTTAACTTTAAAATGCAAAAATATAAAAATATCACCTAAAGCATACAAAAAAAAGGTATAGAAAAAAATGAAGGAACATATCACTGGATGGTATGACTGTGGATGCTTACAACTTGATTCTTCAAACTTTTCAGTATTTTTCAATAGTTCTAAGTGATATCTAAAATTAATTTTAATGACTACACTGGATACTTACTAGGTTGTTGTCCAGGTCTCCTTTAACTGAGGACCGCCCCTCACCCCTCCCACTGCATTATACCAGTAGGCTCATTGCCATTTGTACAATTTGACACATACCTCCTTCAGGCCATAGCCAACAGGGCCAGTAAGGGCTATTAACCCCAAATGGGCCATAAGTCCTTTCCCAGAAATTTGAAATTGGAACTAGAAGAGAGTAAATCTCCTGTAACCTGTATTCAGTGTTTTCTACCTACCACATGAAACAGAGAAGCAAAGGAAGACAGTATGTAGGAAGAAAAATGAAGCAGATACAATACAGCGTTGAGATACAGAAAAATTACAGATGGCTTTCTAGACCCAGTACCTTCTCCAGGCTTGGTTACCGTCCTGTTCTAGAATTTATGAGGCACTCTGTTTCCTTATGATAAAGTCCTCTTTTTAATTAACCTAGCTTGATTTGGTTTGTTGTAGCCAAACAGTAGCAATTAATAATACTATTTGCAGTATTTGGTGGCCTGTCCATGAAGTAAGAAAACTTCAAAGCAGCCAGCCACTAGGTTCTGACCATGTCTAAGCTATTCCAAAGGCACTGCTTTCAAACCTTGGAACCTGACACAAGTGTATGCTCTGGAACTCAACCCTGGTATCTTTCAGGCTAACAACATGAATTACAGTAAGTCATGTGTTCACTCTGTGGAGTTAATTTATACTTTTAAGGGGAAGCATCTCTAAATTGCAAAGAACTAAGAAACAACACATGTTATCACAAGCGTAACTTAACTTTCCTTTGGAAAAGAGGCAAGTCTCTAGAATTGTTAAGAAAACTGCTTTCTCATCCATCTAACAATCTTTCCATAATGTGGATGAAGAAGGATCCTAGGGAAGAAGATCCCCATAGGAATGCTGAATGACTAACCTCCTGGTCCCCAAGAGCGAACTACCATTTACTGAGTGTCCTAAGTATTATACTAGGCATTTTATATAATTTACTTTAATCATAAAACTATTCAAAAATTATGACTTTCTATTTTACAGATGTAAAAACTGAGACTCAGAGGTTAAATGGCTTGCTCAAAAGTACAGTTACAAAAACAAAAAAGTCAAAATTCCAACTCCAAATTCATGCTTTCTATACTATGCTATGAAATTTCTCATGGCTACCATTTCTTGAATCTTTATCATAGACAGAACAGGATAACACCAAAATAAAGCCAAAAATTGAGAATCCTATAACAGAAATAGTATAGTCATAAAACAAAATATTCTTTATATTTATAAAGAGTTTGAAATGTGATTGCTTTTTTAGTATTCAGAGAAAAATTGAATATAAGCTTTTATATATAATATAAACTAGGTATGTCAGAAAAAGACTAAAAAAGCAACCTAAATGTCCCCAAACAAGGGACTGTTTTCAGTAAATTACAAAAAATCACAAGCAAAATTGGAAATCAACCATTATGTGGGAGAAAAAATAAACTGGAAAATTATCTGTACTTCCTATCACAAAGGACCCCTTTCCCTAATACACAAAGATTCCCTAATACCCAAAGAATGCCTACAAACTAAGGAAAAAAGTGTTTAAAAAGAAAAATGCACATAATATCTAAACACAGAAAAGGAAATACAAATGAGTCTCAACTACACACATAATAAGAAATATGCAAATTAAGACTGCATTTGAGATAATACTTTTCATCTCTCAGATTAGCAGAGATCAAGAGGTCCTGATAATACTTTATTGGTATGGGTATGGGGAAGCTTGGACTTACACATTGCAGTGAGTATAAATTTATACCACCTCATTGGAAGGCAATTTGACAATGGCTAACAAAACTGAAAATGCATATATACTTTGATCCATCAATTACATCTACGACAAATTATTCTACAAACATCTCCCATGTGAATGAAACATCTTCTATATAAGAATAATCACTGCAGTAGTGTAATAGTAAAATATTGGAAATAACCTAAATATCCACCAATAGAAGCAATGGATAAAATAAACTCAGAGTGTCTTCCAAAAAAAAAAAGAAATTATTAATATTGTGTTATGTAATGATCTCATAGAGTTACTAAATGAAAAAAGCAAGGTACAGAATAATGTGTAGAGTATGTTGAGATCTATGTAAAAGAAGTTGCTTGCACTACATAAAATATCTTGGAATGATACACTAGAAACTAGCAATAAAGGTTGACTCCAGGGATTGGAACTGGTTAGCTGGGGAGTGGGATAGGAGACAGACTTTGTATCTTTTTGAGTTTTGAGCCATGTGAACATTATTATACATTCAGAAACTTTTTAGAAAAATTTTAAAACAAAAAATTAATCATGGCACATCTATATGATATAGAATGTTTTTAAGGATAGTTAATAAATAGGAAAAGATCTAAGGCAAACTATTAAGCAGGGGAAAGGAACAAAGCTTAAACAGAAGAGTCTTCATTTTGTTAAAAGATTAAAAAGAAAAAAATATTTTTATATGCATAGAAATGATTGTTTCTTGGTGCTGAGATTATGGATAATTTTTTCTTCTTTACACTCCTGTACTTTCCTAATTTTCTATAGTGAGCATGTGTTGTTAAAAATAAGGGGAGAAAGACGACAAAAAGAACAAATAGCTAAAATTTTTGTTTAATCTGTGAATAAATCATCCTTAATCACAGCATCACTGGCCCTTACCTGACCATGACTGGTTGTTGGTTCTTCCTCCAACAAAAGTTTCTCTTTCAAGCTTTTAATTGGGCTTTCTTGGAAATCCTTGATTTTTGAGTGCCAGACAGATGCCCTAGACTCCTGCCTCTCCTCCTCTTTGTCTTCATCTCCCATATCTTCTGAGATGCCTTCATTTTTTTCACTAGCCTGATCTCCTTGGCCACATTCATTCTGGATCAGAGAAGGAGGTCTAGGTAACACTGGTTCCCCAAACCCTTTTTTCTTAAAGAGCTGCCTTTGAGCCATTTTCAGGCTCTTTTGATAAACCTCCAACTGGCAGAGAATGACCTTGGTATATTGGTTAGGGTCCACTCCGGCAGGGCAGAATGGAATACCCCAGAAGTAGTGCACAGTGCCCCCACTGTCCTGGAGACCTTTGGCATCTACTGAGGTAGGCAAACCGTGCCTAGATGTGTCCCCCCTACCCTGGGCAGCTTCGTGAAAAACACAACCCCTCCCAGTACTTTCCTGTGGCTTCCCACACTGTGTGTGCTCAGCCAAGTGGCCAGTACATCTGTCAAAACATTTAACGTTCTCATTCTCAAACACTGGCTGGCTTGACTGGTCCCAGCTTCCTGAGCTGCCAGAGACCGGCTCCTCTTCAGTGTTTTCAGTGTGGTCCCAAGGCTCCTCTCTTTCCTCAGCCTCGTTTCCCTGACTGATATATGAGCCTTTAAACAGTGATGGAGGTACCAGCTGCCATGTGCCTGTAGGTATTTGAGAAAAAGTAGGGCTAAGGACAAACTGTATTTTTATTAAGAGGGCTTGGTAAGTTCTCACTTACCAAGAATTATATAATGTGGGTAAAAAAGAAAAGGCTCTTCTTTGGGTTTAACCAAATGTTGGCTTTTCCTTGGAGATAAAAGTATCCTAGATATTAGTGAGATCTCAACTACTTTTTGATTATATCTCTTTAATACCACCAAAGGGATTTTGGGAATTTCTATATATCTATTCTTAGCATGAGATCCCTGTGATATGGTTATACTTGATGAGTGCAAGGAGTCAGAACAGGGAGACATGCCTTCAGTGGTCCCAGAGTCTGTGGTTTTCTCTTGGTGGGACTGTGAAGATGGTCCAGTGGACAGAGGTCGAGATCTGGTAGCAGAAGCATCAGAAGGCCGGCAACTCTGAAACAAGTGATCCCACACCAGACCAGGTTTATTATTAAAATAACTATACATGAAGGGTCACAGGAAGGACAAAAAGGAAAGGCCACTGTCCCTGAGAGATTCTCCTCTTTAAAATGTAGATGCTCTACTCAAATGAATTCCACAATGTGTACTGAATGCCTACTATGTGCAAAGTGCTGTACTAGATCACTATACTAAACCCTTTTCTAACATAGAGAAGTAGATGGCATAAACAGCTCAGGACCTGCAACTGACAAATATCTTTCACATTTAAAACAACTTTAATTACACATATTCGAATCACAATTTAACATTATTTGAAAAAAATTTAAACTACCCATTCTTTCTCTCCAAAACCCACCTCTGATTCTCATTCCCTTTGCTCTCCCCATAAAACCGGGGAGGGTAAGCACCTTATCTTGCCCCTTTTGGTTTCTTGGTAATGGTAACTCTTTCCAGAAGCTGCCAACTACAATGTCTCTCTTAAGCCATGGACTGAAAACCTGTAAGGTGGAAGAAAACTCTTTCATATAGAATTAACAAAAACATTTCAAATTGGGTTCACCAACAATTCAACATGGGCTCTGAAAATTATTATGGGAAATATTAGTTGAAAACCCTATGAACTATTATAGCTAGTTCCTGATGCAATCATAACACCACAGAAGTAAAATAATGCTGTTTATCATGCCTCACAAACTTTTCAACACAGCATATTTACATTCAGGCTTTCTGCAATGGCTTTCCTCAAGAGCTCTTCTTCTTCCTCCTCCTGGCTGTTCACCTCCCTAGCTTCCTGCTCACTCATTTTGAGAGCCAGAGCAAACTGTTCTTCTTCTGTCATTTCTGTAAGAGGATAGAGAAACAGAAGGGAGGGACACCACAAACATTGAGTAAACATGAAGGCAAGGAATAGAATTATTAAACTTTTCAAGTGAAGACACTACAGACCATTTAGTACAAGTTTATAATCTTATAAATGTGGAAAGCCCCAAAAGGTAAGGTGCTGGCCAAGATCAGTATCAGAAGTTACAAGAATCCTGGGTTAACTAGATTGTGAGTTCCCGTGAAGGCAGAGTTTTTGCCTGTTTTGTTCACTGTTGTATCTCCAACAACTAACAGAGTGCCTGGCACCTAGTAGATACTCAAATATTTGGTGAATAAATAAACAGAGGAACAGACTTCCACTCCAGGACTTTTTGCTACATATCACACCACTTTATGTTCAACACTTAACCAGACTATTTTTATTTATCAGAATCCTCTTAATTACCCAGTCGAAAAAACCATCCCTACTGACCAGAATGTGATACTATTTCCCATTAAAAGTAATGAGGGTACCTTGGAGAAATGACTGATTCCAAGTCTAAAGCTAGAAATGTGGAAGATGAGCTAGAATATCTGACATATGCATGAGCAAAGAAATCTATCGGACACTACTAGGATGATATCAAAAGAACTTAAGAGCCAATTTAAAAAGGTTCTCGCTGGCCAAAAATGGAAATGCAACATCAATAAAAATAAGAATGCAGTGAATTAAAAATATTAAATATGTTTGAATCTATGCATTCAAATTGATACTTTTTTAAAAAATTGGTCATTGTTGAAGAATGTTAATCAGTCATTCTGAAAACTGTTAAATAAAAGAATAGAGAATCAAAAAAAAAAAAAAGAAAGAAAATCAAGCTTTTGTCCTACCCTTCCAACACAAGCTATACTACTGGGTAACCAAATAGATAAAGAGAAGTTTCTCGAATCATTCCAGCTAATAAAAATATAAAAGAAATGACAGAATACTGCCATTTTGTGTAATGTCTATGGAGAGAATTTTGGCAAGTCTAAAAAACTACATATATGACCCTGCAATTCCAATTCTAGCAATTTATTCTAAAGATGCTTCCAATTAAAAGAAACATAAAAATGCGCTACATTTTTCACTGCGGTATTGCTTGAATTTGTAAAACACTGGAATCTACTTAATGACCTACATAGGACATTGCTTGAATAAACTCTGGTATACATACAAATAACTGTAAAAAAGAAAAAAAAAGAGTAAGAAATACATCTATAGACCAGGAATAAATGATTTCAACAATATAACGTTAAGTTAAAATACAGCAAAGTACAAAAGAGTAGGTACATATAGTATGCTACCTTTTGTGTAAGAAAGGAGAAATTTTTTTAAATACATATACCTATTTATTTTTGCAAAGAGTGACACAAGCAGGATAAGTCAGAAACTAAACCAAGTGGTTACCTACAGGTAGTTGGAAACAAGAACTATACCTTTCTGTATATCTTTGAAACTCAGAATTATGTAAATGTTATACATATTTTTAAACAGTAAAATAAAAATCAGTAAGGATGAGGGATCCCTAAAACTGAAACCAAGCAGAAAAAATGTGTACTCAACTGAATTTAAAATAACCTTAATGATAATGAAAACATCAAAATTTGTGGGATGCACCTAATGCAATTTTTACAGGGAAATATATTGCTTTACATGATTATACTAGAAAAGTGTAAAATCAGTGACCCAAGCCTCCCACTATAAGAAGCTAGAAAATAAAGAGTGAAACTCAAAGTAAGTAGAAAGAAATATAAAGAGCAGAAATCAACAAAATAGATGACATACAACAGAGAAAAAATAACAACAAAAAATTGGTTCTATGCAAAGGTGAATAAAATTTATAAAGCTCTAACTAGATTTAACAAGGAAAAAAAACACAAATTAACAGTATCAGAAATAAAAGAAAAGGTACATCACTACAGATTCTACATTCATGAAAAGAATAATAAGGAAAGAATGTGGACAGTTTAATGCCAATAATTTTGACATCCTGGATTATGCATTCTCAATAGGGGTGATTATGACCTCTAAGTTGGCAAGAATTGGTTCTTGGAGGTCGAAAAAAATCTTACTCTCTTTATGTATAAAACACATGTATAATCAGTGCATAAAAAGGATATAGAGCATTACTTACAGTAATAAAAGTTCATGGGATAGCTGGGGAAAAGAAGTCTAAAAAGGATCCTTTGGGGAACAACAATGAAAAAAGGACTGAGAAACACTGACTTAGATGAAATAAATCCCCTCAAAAATCACTGAAAAACACAAATTATATGAAAACTGATACAAGAAACAAAAAATCTGAATAGCTGGTATCTATTAAAGATATTGAATTTGTAACTGAAAATTTTTCCATAAAGAAAATCCCAGGGCCATCTGTCATTCATCACTGGTGAATTCTATAAAAAAAATTTTTTTAAAAATCAAACTAATTCAGAAAATAAAAGACCAGTTCTTCATAAATTGATTTATAAATTCAACACACTCCCAATAAAAATCTCAACAAGCTTGTTTAATGAAACATAATAGAAAATTCAGAAATAGATTCAGAGTGATTTTCAACAAGAAAAAGACAGGCTTTCAACAAATAGTGCTAGAACAACTGGAGACCTAATAATTAAAAAATTAATTTTAAAACCCTTACCTCACAATACATACAAAAATTAACTCAAAATGGAGCATATATCTAAATGTAAAAGCTAAAACTATAAAAGTTCTAGAAAAAACATAGGCGAAAATTTTTATAACCTTGGATAAGTCAAAGATTGCTTAGACAAGATCTTGAAAGAAAAAAAGCATGAAAGCAAACAAAAAACAAAAAACACAAAATTTAAAACTTCTCTTTGTTAAGAAAATAAAAAGATAAGCCACAAACGGGAAAACATATTCACAATACATATAATCTGATAAGGACTTGCCAGAATATATAAAGAAATCCTAGAATTTGACCAAAAAACAAGCAACCTAATTTTTAAAATAATGAGCAAGGGATTTGAACAGATACTTCACAAAAGAAAATATCAGAATGACAGTAAGCACATGAAAAGATCGTTAGTCATCAAGAAAATGCAAGTTGTAATGAGATACCACTATGTACCACTAGACTAGCTAAAATGAAAAAGATCGACATTCCTAACAAAGTTACTACATCATAAAGAAAAATTGATTACATCTTTTATGTTCAATTTAAGAGAACCAAAAACCATGTAATACAAAACTAAGTCTGAGTTCTTTGTTGTACTCTGCTTTTCAAAACATCCTATTCTCCAAAGGTCTGGAGAGATGAGGCTTTGCTACATTAACTGAAGTATTCTCCAGACTCTGCCCTCCTGCCCCACCATTAAAGCAAGAGCTTTAACTCAGTAACACAGTGTGATTCTGTTTATTAGTACATACGAAGCTCAAGAGCCAGACTGCCTGGAGTTAAAGCTTAAAGTTTGAATATGCCTCCTTAGTTGTACAATCTTGAGCAGCTTACTTATCCTCTGGTACCTAGATACTGGTACTGGTCTCTGATAATCTCTCTCCCCCTTTTTAGTCTGCTTCTTTTAATCTGCTGTGGACATACATGTAGAGTAAATACACTCTTCACTTGAGGAATTCTCACATATATATCATGATTTTGTAAAACCTGTTTTAATTCACACACATAAAATCGAGGTAATACTTAAGGCTGTTATGAGGATTAAATAATACATGTAAAACACTTTGAATACTACTTGGCACATAACAAGTGCCCAATAATTAATTATTGCTATTAATAATTGTTTGTTGTTATATATTTAAAGAAATCCAAAACTTTAATTCAGATTATCTAACTCATAGTTTACTGACAGCACATAGCCATATAACTTGACAAAGTCACCATTACAAATTTATTTTAACCACTCATAGAATTAAATCAGAATTAAAAGGACATTCACTATTTAATCTCGTTTTTTAATAATTTTTTTATATTTTAATTACAGTTGGCATACATTATTCAGTCTCAAGGTGGGCTCTTCTGCATATCTCCAGCTACATGTTCAGCTATACTTCAGGCGACTCCCAATTATGGCTGTTGTGTAGTTTAAGTTATAATTTTGATGTGATTGTGAGAGGAGGCAAGCACAGTGTTTACCTACTCTGCCATCTTGACCGAAAGCTTCTCTTATTTTCACATATCAACCATGATCTGAGACTAAAGTCCAATAAACACCATGGTTAACTAAAACATTTTACCTGACCTCTCTACTATATAAGAATCTAACCATGAGAAGAAAGGAGAAAACAAACTGGAATCTCTCCTGGGAGCATGTTCCCTTAAGGAAAATGTCAGCAAGTATCAACCTTAGAATCTCCCACTCAACTGGCTCGACTCAGCTTATCAAATGATTCTGCTAAGCTAAACACAGAGAGTGTACAAGTTGTGTGAAGCTCATTACACAGGTCATAATTTATTGATGATTAACATCTCCTAACATTCAGGTTAGCCTCCCACTGAGATGTGCAGACTGTTAACAATCCAGAACACAAAACTAGATAGTACAAGACAAAAGAACCTGTATAATTTTTGAGTATTTAAAATGGCTGAGAGAGAACATTTCATTCAACAAAAAAATAAACAAGATAAGTTATCTTCCCACCTAAATCTTTTCCTAAGCACTTTCTCTTCCAAAACAGATACAGCTCTGCAACTCTGGTAAAGCTGATATACCTATATATTGCGAGTTACGATGTAATTTTATAAAACATCTTTGAAAGCAATAAGGCACTCTGTCATAACCCTTATAGATGAGCATTGTGATACCACTGCTGGGAATTTACCCTAAGCAATCAGTGAAAAGAAGAAAAGTGCTATATACAAAAAGATGTACACTATGCTATTATCTATGAGAGCACTGACTTAGATGCCTAAAGCAAGGTGATAGTTAATGGCATGTTAACTCAAGAGGCTCTGAACTTAATCATAAAGACATATAAAAAATGATAAAGTGAGTAAAAGCCAAATAAAACT